GACAATATGCTGAAAACAGTTGCCCTCTTCGGAGAAGAATCTGCTGGCCCTGTCTTGGCAAGATCCGACCAGTCTGAGTCGGAAGAGGAAGACGTGCACGCGTACAGTGGGGACTCAGATGGTGCCTCCCACCTCGAAGAATTAGGAGGAGCTCTTGCTCTTTCAGATGCGGGACCTAATCTTCAAGGAATGGGGTGTGCTACGTACACGCTGCAGCTCGCTGTACATCGCGCTCTCAAGTCTACAGCTACTGGCGATATCACACGGAAGGACCGAGAAGGTGTGAAAAAAATGAGGTCCCACACCGTGCTGTCCCTACTTCGGAAGTTCAATCTGGAGAAGTCCGTTAAAATGCATTAAAATCATCTGGTGGGCTAGTTGGGTAAACATCACTAAAAAAAAAATAGCGAAAGGACGACGGAAGGAAGAATGAGAAGACAGGAAAGAGCGCTACTGATACCTGAAGTTTTATTTACAAAAGAAAAGAAGGCGAAAAGATGTGAAAGAAGTCTTTGAAATACCTCACTTCTTTTCGCCTTCTTTTTTCTCGTAAATAAAACGCCAGTTGTCAGTAGCGCTCTTTCCCGTCTTCTCGTTCTTCCTTCCATCGTCCTTGCGCTATTTTATAGTGAAGAAGCCTGTCCTGGATTGGTAACTAGGTGGATGTCCACCGGGGTCATGATGCGACGATTGATGGAACTGAGAGAGTTCTGCGACAAGTTTATCGCAGACGATAAACTTGTCGTCTGCGAAGGGACCATGAAATGACCTTTTTACTTTTTCCAGATAACCTTTACATCAAACCGTCAATGTTCACTGAATGCCGAACAGGCATCCGTTTTCGTCTTGGTTTATTAACTTCTACACAAAAAATTATTGAAATATCGACTTTTTCATTCTCTCCAACTGACCGCAAAAGAAGCCGTGACGTAGACCGTTTCCGGAACCGGAAGTTCTCTCGGCAGTAGGAGAATGGGGGTGTTAGCGGCAACAAGTGTGGGTGCGCCGGTAGGTTTTACTGCGCTGATGTCACCGACGTATTTCCTGAATCGGCGCCTCTCATCGCCGCATCGCAGCTGAGCGAAATTCAATGAGATATGTTGCGCTACAGCGACAGCATGGGACTAGTCCCATACGCCGGTATGCCTGTTGGGAAGTGCAGCGAGTCTTCCGGTGAAGACTCCAGAAGTCAACCACCCCGTCATTGTTGGCAGAAGGGCCGGCCCGTATCAGTCGTTTGCAAAGCGACGTAGATGGCGTTTTTCGCGGCCTCGGAGATGCAGGAGCGAGCCGACGTTAAAAAAGATACGTTTGAACTACGAGTGTCAGCAAGAGCCACGTAAATACCTGTTTACACTCGGAGCGGACGCGCGCGCTTGATGGAAGTCTTGTATTCGCGCTGTTTGTAAGCGCTTCGGGACTGTTCTTTTACGATTGCAACTCGATACTGACGCGACACTCGGCAAAGAAAGGTTGGACCGGGGTCCCGCGAACTGTTATAGCTCGACAGTGACGTGCAGTCTGTCAGAATAAAAATGGCATACCAATAACAAAGTGTACATACCGTGTTACGAAGGTAATCCATACGGCGTTTATTTCAGCTCTATATCACACAAAACAAGAAGATAGAATCGACGAGAGTCCCTTTTCGACGAGTGTTCGTCAACACTGCCTCGGAAAACAAGGGGAAGAGATTGACCTCACCTCTTAATCTAGAATTGAGGTCAGTGATCAAACTATAATACGGGAAGGGTCCACAAGGGTCGCGCGGGCATATTCCATTTAGCACGCCAGCCGATCGTAGGCAGACGGTCTTGCGACGAAGCAACGCAGCGCCGAGTCGGAATGCCTGCTAGGCCTATACGCTTCGTCGAAGTCGGTGGATCCAGCGTTCTTGTTCGTCGTGGTCTGTTTTAAGTACTGTTTTCTTGCTGCTTGAAGTCGGCACGCGCGGGAAGAACACGTAGAAAAATAAACGTTCAGTCAGTCAGAGTTTTGAGAGGAAGGAAAACAAAGAAAATAAACGTTCGTCGCTGGCCGCCACCCAAATAACTGTCGGCCCTGCCCTACTGCGCACGCGCAGTAGTTGCTTCGTTTACCACACGATAGATGGCGCCTGGCTCTCAGCATTATCAAATTTGGCAATTTTCGCCACACATCTCTAATTATGCTACAAAATGTGGATCTGAATATTATTTAACAAAACTTTTAGGAAACATTCGCCGGCTATTTATTGTTTACGATCGCGGTGCTGGTGAGGTAGGCTCTTACCCAATGGGCGCGTTCAGTAGCGGCCCCGGAGTCAAGGAGTCACTGACTCCTTCCACTGGACGGCCAAAAGTCACTTCCGGTGCACGTAACTCCGGGGCTTCGGAGTCAAGCTCCGAAGCACCGAGTCCGGAGACGGTGCACGTAGAGTCAAAGGAGCTAAAATGACGTCATTTCCTGACTGGTGACGATTTCCGGCGCTAAAAGAGGAAAAAACAAACAATATGGCGGGATAAACTGCTTCGGTTCTGTCGCGGGTGCGCGGTTTGCTCGCTTCTGTTAATGAAAAGTGCTCTAGGTAAGACGAATAACGCGTTCGAATATCTTTTTCAGGTAAGGCTCTTTTGGAAAATGCATTGGACAGTATTTTGTTTGGTTTGAATATGCTAATAAACAACGCAAACGTTCATTTGACGCTGTGTCTTGATCACCGTTGCACGGAAACTCGGTAATTGACGATAGTCCTGTCCGCGCTCAACAGAGCAAAACAGGGTATGAACGCGACTTTGGAAGCCGGTTGGACGCTCACGCAGAGCATGATACCGATTAATGTTTTGTTTGCGTAGCTTAATCGGGGTGCACGTTGGCTGAGGCTCGCTTCGGCCGACAAAACCTTGATCGCCGAGCGCGGCCGAACTTCCCGTGTGTATACGAATACATTTTATAGGAAGTTCGTTACGAAGGGCAGAACAAACTTATGGCCGTATAAAAGTATCGCAACCGGCGGGATAGATTCGCTGAGCTCTGTATTTTGCGTGTGCTGACGACGTTTTTTGTCGGCTTTTATAACAGTAGCTGCCTTTGCACCGCCAAGCGAAGGGCTCGATCGCGTTGCATCGCTTCGAACAGCAGCGCTGATGTGTACAATCACCCGCTTCTTCTTCAACGACCTTGTCCAGACTTCTTCAATACCGGGGTCAAATAAAAGCGATCGAGCTCGCCATCGTCTGCTTCCAGTTTATTCGGAGACCGTCTGGCGCAGGGGAGGAAGCGGAAGTTGCGTAGAAGCAGGCTTGGAGCCGCGGGTTTTTTTGCCGTTCAGTAGGCGCTCCGATGACTCCAACTCGAGGCACTCCGTTCGGAGGCAAGGGAGGCGCTACTGAACGCGCCCAATAGGCGACCTGGATTTGGCTGACGTGCTCCATTTCCGCGGATGCATCGTAGTGAACAGGCGAAGGAAGGAAGGCGCAAAAGAGTCCAGTTTTCTTTTAAAAGTTCTATAGCAAATAATTTTTTTTGGCTCCCCATTTTTGTGTTTTTGTGTTTCTTTTCACACCTTTTACGACGTGCGGTGGATGAAACTCGATTTTAAAATCATTTCATGGTCCCTTTAAGAAGACTGGCAATCAAGAAGGAACGTAGTAGCGTCCCTGGGGCCGGCCGAGGAAGCAAGAGTGCAGCTTCAAAGGGGGCGACTAATTTTGTGGGACTTCTACGGGACATGGCTCACGTGTCGAATGGAGACGTAAAAAATTGACGTCCCGGTCGCGTATCAGCTGGCCGCTGCCATGAGAGGGCGAGAGGGTGTTACTCGGAAGCGACATATTCTGTGCAGCTAAATCTTTGTATCCTCGATACCATGTCACGTTAACAAGCGAGGAGAGGCACAAAGCAAAGCAGCAGGAGGAAGCTCGCGCACTTAAAGAAGATGCCCAGCCACAGCAACCTCAAGCACCGTGCACAACGGAGAGTTCCACATGACCTGATGACGACCTCGAAGTGTTTCTCATGGAAAAAAAAGAAAAAAAAAGAGCGGTTTGAACCGTTATTTTTTCCTCTCTGGAGTTGAACCTGAACCGAACCGAAATATGTGAACCGTCACCCGAACCGAACCGAAAAGAGTTTCGGTTCGACACTGCGCACCCAGTCCTACACCCACTGGACTGGAGAGAATACGGTGTGAAAGTGCATTTGCTCATGCTGCTGTTCATCACCTAAATGTACGCGCGTTATTCCGTTTTCCATCGACCTCATCCAATGGCGGTGCTGACTTGACTCCACCTTCGCAACTCGCGCCCTTGGCACGGTTTCGGTGTCCTCCAGTAACTAACCTCACCCCCCACCCCATTCTCATAACCTCACGCGAAGATGTACTTCAGCATACTTACAGGGCGTATAAACTGATGCCTCGGAAATATCCCAAAAATTTCGGGAAATAGAATCAATACATTCATTTTTAGAGAGGTTTAGTGGATCGTTCCGACAGCCCCGATAACGATACGATGCATCCTCAAAGGCGGGGGTGGAGTATCGAGTACCGTTATCGGGGTCATCGGAAGGATCTGCTAACACTTGCCTCCTTATTAGGAGGAAATAACACTATAAGCGTTTTTGTTGTTGTTATTTTTTTTTTTTGGGGGGGGGGGGGGGGGGGAGGGGAGGGGAAGGGGCGAACAAAGGTGTTCATGTTAGAGACTTTTATTAGATCGTTGCTATACCCAATAACGACACACTGCATGCATAAAGCTGGCCGCGGAGTATCGGGTATCTTTTTTGGAGTCATTGGAAAGATATACTAAAACTCTATTACCGAGACACAATTGTATTATCTAAACTTAGAAAGTATTCGTTGATCTGACACTGGCAAACATGAATCCCACAGAGTATATATATATATATATATATATATATATATATACTCTGTGGGATTCATGTTTGCCAGTGTATATATATATATACTCTGTGGGATTCATGTTTGCCAGTGTCAGATCAACGAATACTTTCTAAGTTTTATATATATATATATATTTTTTTTTTTTTTTTATTTCGCGTTTTTAATTAGCCTCGTAAGGAATGAAACTGTGTACACTGCTCTGCTTTCGCAGAACAGCACGAGGTGATTGAGTTCACGATGAAAGCCACTTGCGCAGCGCTTGGATCTGTGCTTCAACGGTCTTCTTGCTCGTGCCACCTGTTGCGGAGTACTGCTCGACGGCGTGCTCGTAGTTCCAAACATCTGCCAAGTCCTCGTCGAAAATATTTCTGCAATGGACAAACCCAACGTTTTTATTTTTTTTCGGAAAAGGGTTTAACACAACTTGAATTCCGAAATAACCCTAATCTAAGAGTCGATTGAAACGATGAAAGTTGTGGAAGAAACTGATGAAGAGAATTTGCCAAATTGGTATATTTTCGTCTATGTTTAGGCTTCAAACTTGATTTATTTGTCGAAAGAGTTCTAATAAAATTACGAACACGCGCTCCTCTTTTCGTGCCCAAAATGCGATAAAATCTGAATCCACGCAACGTAAAAAAAATAAATAAAAAAAAGGATCGTTTAAACGTTTTGACAGTGCCGATCTCCCTTTAGTCAATCGCGTACAATAGCTCTTCGTGGAAAACCGCTGCTCGTAATTCTCCTAGTGAACTTTTTTTTTTTTTCACTGAGCGTACATTTAACATGGAGGGATAAAAGGAAAGCGACATGAAGGACGAAGACAGGATAAAACATGTCGCTTTCCTTTTATCCCAGAAACATACCAGCGTATTCCAATTTCCCGAGTTAAAGGGGCCCTGCAAGCACTTACTGGTTTTAATTTGCACCGAACCTGAACGCACTGAACGTAGTAACTTAATGAAACTTTTCTTTTCTCGAATTTCGCTTTATTTTAAAAGTTATAGGCAAATTAAAATTACAAAAACAAGCAAAAAAATAACCGCCTTCATGACGTCCTTGCTTGCTTGAGTGGCTGTGAACTAGAGGAGGGGTAGTGAGCTCAGCGAGCGCTCACGGCTGCGCACTCCGTGTCGACGCCGCGAGAGGGCGCTACTAAAGCATGTTCTGGATGGGCTGTATACAGCGGGCAGCCAGAGCGGCTCTCATTGCATTTGCTGCGCGATTAAACACTAATTCGGCATGACACTTCATTGGCCACAAATGATAGAAAACACGGGGTAGAGATCAGTTCAGAATGAGGGCCGCTTCGCCCTCCCATACCGCGAAACGGGCAAACCGCAAGACAAAGCTGCTCGCCGAAGGCCTTCGGAACCAGGGGTTTCCCCAGGATTCTAATCAAGGAGGGGTGTCCCAATGGTTCCGGGGGGGGGGGAGGCGATGCGAGGCGAGGCGAGGCTGGATAAAATATAAAACTGTTTCTTTTTTAGTCCACTAGCTAAATTACAGACGTCTATTAACCAAATGCTCATACCCGTAATGTATGTTTCCCTTTCTCTATATATACACCTGAGAGGTGGTGTTTTCTACTTAATCTGAAAAAAAGAATTTTATTTTCTTTTTTCCTTTTTTTTTTTCCTTTTTAGATTTAAGGGGGGGGGGGTGTCCAGGAAAACTAGGGGGGGTCTCAACCCCCCCTAGGGGAGGGTCTAGGGAAACCCCTGCTCGGAACGCTCGGAGCCGGTCGGATCCTCCAGTCCGTAAACCAGCGCCGCCGCGTACATCCGGGACCTTTCCGTGTCGGCGCCTGATCCCACTGCTACAGTTCCACTGCTCCTTTCTAGTATGCGCCACCTTTTCCACCGCTTGGTGGCGGGTATGTCGACGGGTCATTTCTTGTTTCCGTACTTTGTGAACTGCATTCGTTTCTTTTTTGATCTAAAATACTGAACAAAAACTACTTTTATAAATAATTGAAACGGTTTGCGCCACTTATATTTTGTATTTCGACTAAAAAGAAGCTTTTAGCGGCTCTGACCAGTAGTGAGCCCAGGACCAAAGACGTCACATATCGCGCGCTTTCGGTACCGCGGGTCGCACCCGTCGGTGGAGCAGGTTTCCGCATCGTCCGGTTAAAATATGATGCACTGATATTTAGTTACTCTCTCCGTGCCGCTGGCTTGCCCAAACCCCGAGAGACGTGGAAACCGCAAGAAAGTTAGATGCTTAAATATGATTGCAGGGCCCCTTTAAAGGGCAACTCCGCTTAATTTCAAAAATTTTGAGATAGTAGCCGATTTTGCTTTTTGAAGCACTCAAAAACAATCCCCAATCTTTTGTTTCGCGAAAAATAAAATATTTTTCGTGTAATTTTACTCTAGCCATGATTACAAACCGAAACCGAAACGGTGGCAAAGCCGGACAACATTGTATATTCGGCATCACTAACCATGTACACCCACGTGATATAGAAGGGGAAGAAGGAGCTCCCCTCTTATCAGGATCCTCCTTTGTGCCTCCTGGATTAGCACAGGCGTCGCTATTCTCCTCCCAGAAGATTATAGAAGATTAACCTGTAACTCAAAATTCTTACAAAAGCAACTTCCCTCTCCTCCTTTTACTTGGTGTTCAAAAGTATGGGATGTAACACAAGCCGCGCTCAACGAGGCGATCGGCTTATCAGTAGTATCAATAGTCGAGCGCCGGGCCGGCCGAGCGCGTCACTCACGTCTTTCACGGCGCTGGCGCTGGCGCCACCCGTGCTCTCCCCGAAAAAAAAAAAAAAAAAATTGAAAAAAAAAAAAAGAAGCCGGCCGTACATGTTTGATGACGTCGCGGACGTGCCGGGAGAAGGAATTTGGAGGAAGCGGAAATGCAGCCGGGCAGTGTTGTCTGGCCCGCACGTCTCACCCAAAACCAGCGGATTCGTGCTTGTCAAAACTTTGACAGCGATTTTAATGAACTTCTAGGCGGAATTCCGTCGTAATATTTGCCATGGGGGTTTTGTAGATGATAACAAAGAGAACTGTATAGTTTTGCACTACTGGAAAAGAAGCGGAGTTGCCCTTTAAGAACATGTCCTACGTTCTATCTTGGAATTCCATTCCTAATTTGCTTTTCCTTATAAGCAGAACAACGATGGGTATAGAATCGGGCGTCATGAACACTTACGTTATGCTCTTGGCCTCCTGGATCGAAACTTGATGCATGGGTACATTATTTCGTTCTGCAAGGGCTACCAGTTTACCGGCAGCACAGTGGGCATCCCTGAATGGCATCTGTAATGGCAATGAAAAAGATGCAGGCACTGATCGGCTTAACAGCCCTTTCCACGTGCACATTTATTGGGTGCGCTCGTCTGATCGGAAAGCATACAGTCCATAACCATTCCGGTGGTGTGATTGCTGCGCCGTTTGCTCCAAACTGTGCCAAAGGGCTTACCTTGCTACATCCTGCTACATTTTACCTTATAGTAAGGAATTTGTTTGAATATTGCGCCAAAACTTCATTTCACTTTAATCATACTGATAAGAAATAGCTCAGATCTCGCTACCCGGCCCGTACGTTACGGTATACTTGTGCGGGTTTTCAGAACTTTCGATAATCGATTCGAATAACGTACTCTTCGATTTGATTTCGGGTCAAACACTGACAGTACTGGAAAGTTTCGCAATTATTTTCATGTTCGTGGTCCGTTCTGGCGGGTTGCTTAGTCTCGTTGAGTGTGCTTCTCACCGCACACCGATATACTGCCGTGAAGCGACAACTGCGGTGTAGTCGTCACGATTCTGCGTGTCTTGCTTCTCCTCATCGCACCCGTGTGCTAACGGGAAAGCGCTCCTCCAGAGCAAGACGTGGCACAAACTCAGAATAAAACTTCGGCTTGTATATACGATAGGCTGAGATACCCTGGCGGCATATTTTAAAGCGATAGCTTTATGGACGACACTTTGCAAAGATTTTGTCCTCGTCTCTTGTCGGTCGCGGCGCGCGGGGAAATGGAAAAACCCTTCTCTTCCCACGCCAGTCAATGGAATGGAGAGGTGTGGGAGACAATGGGCTGGAGAGGAGTGGAGAGTCCTGTAGGCAGAGCTCGAGAAGAAACGCCTGGGCGTTACTAGCGCTAAATCAAATCTAACCGCTGGTTGGTTAATCTGGTGTGGAGGAGTGGGTGGAGTCAATGGGGTGGAGAGGAGTCAATAGGTGGAGAGGTGTGGGTGAAGCCACTGGGGTGGAGAGGAGTGGAGAGTCTTGAAGGCAGAGCTCGAGAAGAAATCCATGGAGGTTTCTAGCACTAAACCAAGAACGTTTCATGTGGCAACACAATTGCGAGCAATTTGCGATACCTATTGCATGTTGTTTTTTAATATGAATTAAGAATTGCAGTTTTATTGCAACCTCTAGAACTCAAAGAAAATATTTAAGTCCTTAGAATATTGTATTCTAATGTTATTTCAGTGGAATTTTTTTATCCAAAATATCCGTTCACAACGGTTTGTGCTGTCTTTTATCAGTCATCTTCATGTTACCGCGTCCGGTGCTTCTACACGCAACCAAGTTCTGTGCTCGAGGGAATCGCTCCATCCGTGCAATCGGTGCTAACAAAAGTTTATTAAGAAGGCGAAGTAGGTATTGCCTTCTAGTTTGACAGTGATATGAAAGAAAATGAAATGTGCGCCTACACTCCGAAAGCTCTTTTTGCCCGTCCAAGAGCTGCTCCAGAATAACTCAGACCGATCAGATCACTGCTATTCTCATAAGCTGTGGTGTGGGCGTCTGAATTTGGAAGCTTAGTTTTGCCTGAACACCCACACAAACAAAGCACTTGGTATGTCACCCTGGTTCTCAGAATAGCACAAATATACCACTATTCGTTGTATTCTTATTTCTGAAATTTTAATTTAGTAGTATAGGTCGGGTCGGCAAACTTTCGCAGCGGCATGCCGAGTCGTCACGAAGCCGACACGGAGGAGAGCGTGCAGGAGATCGCGAAGAGGAGGAGGGCCGGGGGGGGGGGAGGGGGGGGGGGGGGTCATGAATCTGATTCGCGGGCCGTGGGTTGCCGGCCCCTGTTATAGGTGATTTGTTTATATATAAAACAATATTTTTTATTTAATCTTTCAGCACCCAGTAGTTACAACTTTTGCTTATTCATATGTATAGAATAAGGTACACGCTCACATTATGAGATATTGATAAGTGAATTTTTATAAGAATGTTTTGAAACCAGGTGGAATATATCTATAGGTAGTTCTTAAAATGCGTAATCAAAAGAAAACTGATATTTACGGCGTCGTTCGTGCACAAAGTATGGGCTATGACACGCTTTCGACGAAGAGGTTTAATTTACCCCTTTTCGGACGAGATAGTAAGCCACGTCAGTCGCCAGCATTTCTGGACTCAGTCCTGACACGCAGGCAGACTCGTGCACCTGGAAAGAAATGTTGGTCAAAGCTTGTATTTCACTAAAGTTGCCCTGTCCTCCAACGTCCCTTCTTGTCTTAGGGACAATTTATTGCCAAAACCTCAAGTAAAGTTAGCGAATACTTGAAAATGTTTCACCGCGAAGAAGATGTGAAGCATCATCCGGTGGTTATTCTTTTCAGCGCGCAAGTCAACATACAATTTTATTATGTTGTGCATGTGGCATATGGCTGTTCACAAATAATTGAAGTGAACCAACTAAACTGATAGCAACTGATCTCCTTGATTCTGCGATATTCGCCCCCCAGCAAAACGTTGTGCAAAAATCACTTTCAGCCGAACCACCTAACCCGAACAACTGAAGACATCGTTATATTCTCCAGAAAGATTATGAACGGGAAATAATACAATACTAATACTAATTAGAACCTCGAAAACGCTTACCTTTTATTCCTGGGCCAGACGTTTTCTTTTTTTTTTTCTTTTTTTATATAAACAACTTTTGCGATATCTTTTATTTCTGCCCTCCATGATGAAGAACCGTAACATTTCGGAGCGCCAGACCGATAACACGTACCAAACTTAAAAATGTTTTACTAAAACGAGTTTTATTTATAAAGAAACAAAAAAGCAACGTCCCGCAATCTTGCCCATGCAAATGTCACTCATTAGCGTTACACAAGTGTCAACCAAGTTCTAGAAAAGTGTGTGTTTCTATTATTCCAAAGAAATGTTGTATCTGACAGTACCAAATGTGTCTAACTGTGCTGAACGATGGTCAAAGAAAGTTATTATATCACTGATTATAAAAGTATAAATAAAATCAATTCAAGTGAATAATAATCATGTCCTTACCTCGAGGGTTTCCAAATTGCCTGTAGCAATTTTGAGCAGCGCAGTCAAGGTGTCGTGAGCATCAAAAATGGCTTCCTTGTCTTCCTGATGGGATGGTTTATGGGAGCACGATGAGATTGTAATTAAAGGGTACATTAATTTGACTGATCTCCCACACAAAATGGAGGCAGTTTTTTATTACCTCACGTGATTCACAATTGCGTCAGAAAACGACCGACATCATATATCCGAAGATTTTCTGACATCTAGGTCCTTAAAAGTCCGGGAGATTTTCACATCTCCCGGGCTTTCCTTTCTTAGATATCTTTCTAACCCTTTTGTTGTAACGCTGCGACAAACACAATATATTTCTTATCTTTGCCTAAAACTTTTATTTTTAAGTTAGGTCAAGCCATTTTTTATTCACATTTATCATTAAATGATTTTGAGCTTACCTGGAAATCTTTGTTGTATGTACTCGGCAGGCCTTTGAGAACCATGAGAAATCCGACCAGCTGTCACATGAGCATAGTAAAAACTTAATCAACAAATTTATTTTTGACTGGGAATAGAATGGAAACACTTCGAAATTCGGTTGCCTAAAGGCCGTTCGACTTGATGTAAGGTGTGGTATATCAGCTTCATCTTTAAAAGAATATTATTTGCATTTTACTACTTTAGTGAATTAAAATGAGTATTGAATAGTGTCGTGCTCTGTTCGTGAATAAGATGATAAATGTTTAGGTACTGGGTATTGTTCATAACTAAACAGCCTAGACAATTACAGAATCTTGGTGGCGAGTTCTCTGTGAATTCGTGTGCTGACTGAAAACGTTTACATGTACCTCCTCATATATGAGCTTGTATATCCGTATAACCTCCTCAATTCAGGGGTCAAATGTCAAGTTAGGTCAATTCCCGTAAAACGCACCACCAGGATTTTGGTACTTCCTAAGGCATGTTTAATTAACAATACTAAAGGGTTACATTTTAAAATCGTGTATTGAGTGAAATCTATGATTCGTTACTCCTAAATAGCGTGCAATTGCAACGATGTCGAATCCCGTTATCGGCTACTATTCTAAGTTAATTCTTTGAAATATACTTACTTACAAGCTGAATTTAAAAAAAAAAAAATCAAACACCAGGACTACGATTTACTGTATTATATAGATTCTATTACTCTGCGCCGCACATTATACCGTAAGGATTGTATAATTAGTTGGCCATTAGTGCAGGTTCTGTACTAGCCAGGTACGTAGCCAGGATTTTGTTTCGGGGTCGGGGGGGGGGGGGGGGGGGGGGCACTTATGACAAAATGCTGTATGAGGGAAAGGGGGAGAGGAGGACCCAGCAAAATGAAAGATTTTGGGGGGGGGGGGGAAGGGCATGCCCCCCCCCCCCCCCCCCTTCTGGCTACGTGCCTGGTACTACGATAATTTTATCCACGAGAATCACTCAGCGTAGAAGCCTAGATGAACTGTAAGATAGTAGATATGGCGTGGCTCCCTCACCGTCACTGTTAGCTAAAGACGAACGGGTACAACATTTGATAGTAGATGTGTGAATGTCGGTATCTACCGAATGACAAGCCAATATCCAACAATTCATTATTTGCATGATAACATTTTATATTAAAAAAGACACTCACGTGGCCAGATATCCTTCCAGTTTTCCCTCGGATCAACTCTAATCCATCTGGATTTTTCTTCTGTGGCATGAGGCTACTTCCAGTGCTGCGGGGAGAATGCATCGCGACATCGCCACACGCTCTAAAACCTCAAGCGGATTGAAAATGCTAGTTTAGACGTAGTGACCTGAAAGCGTCGTCGATGGTCACATATCCAAATTCAGTCGAACTGTAAATTATCAAGTCCTCAGCCCATTTACTCAGGTGTACAGCCGTCAGGGAACATACAAAAAGGAATTCCGCTGCAAACAATATTTTTTAAGCATCTACGAAGTATTGAAGGAGTAATAAACTCTCTTACCAACAAAATCCCGATCGCTGACTCCCGTCATGCTGTTCTGTGTGACGGCTTCAAACATCAGATCTGTTTTTCATGGCCGGGAAATCAAAAAAATAAGGTCACAAGGATGAGTCTTTTTTTTTTCGCTTTATTCTATGCGTCATTTTGCTTTCTATATTTTATGTGCGTAGTATTAGGTGGTATTAGGTGCTTGCCATGGTGTCACTGAGAAATACTATGGTCACTGCCAAGGTGAGAACGGCAGAAAAGAGCTTTAGTTGTCCCTAGGGTGCCTCAATGTTTCTGTTTAGGGTGATGCCACCCTTTGTAGTATCCGATGCCGACAGCACGCGCTCACCGGTAAAATACAAAGGAATCGTAAAAAAACAAAATGTCGCCATAGCAGAGTCAACGCCACAAACGCGTGCAGGGAGACGCTCTTTCACGCGCTTCTGAACAAAACAAAAAAACAAAAAAACTTTCAACCTTTTCATTTTGGTGAAGAAGGACGAGCAGCGGAGCTGTAGCTTCTGTTCTCGGCGGTGGCTTTCCAGGCGAGCGATCTGCTCTTCTTTCGCAAGGGAATCTGAAGCGCTCGACGCACGCGACGGTTGCGGACCCATTCGCGCTGCTGCGTACGTCGCCGCTCTTTCCGCACCCGGTCTTCTTTCCCCGAAGAAAGGGCATGCGGCCGATCCATCGTGAGTCCAAACCGAAACTGATAAGAGCGTAGGAAACAGCGCGCAAAACAGACGAGGACGAAGAAGAAACACACGTGACGTGCGCTGCGCACATCACGTGCGTTTCTTCTTCGTCCTCGTCTGTTTTTCGGGCCATTTCCTACGATGAATTCCCGCCAACTCGCCCAACTATCCATTCTTCTATGATAGCTGAAAAGGTTGACGCCATATATGAGCGACGGCGACAACCAGACTGGTTGCCTGGTTGCCGCCATCGCTTATAGATGGCGGTAGCTGTCCAGAGGTTTGTGTCAAGATTTCTTTGGTACCGGACACGATCCTGGGGAACCTAGCCCTTAACAGTTCCGCTGTAAAAATGAAAATAAAAGTGTTGGACAAAATGGCCAGATGTCTCCACCCTAAGCAAAGCACATCATGAAGGCACCCTATTAGCGGCGAGAAGTTATAGTGGCGCCCTCCTACGGTTCCCCCTTGTGACGTCATTACCTTGCAAACAACAAGTTCGATGGTGTTTGTAAATAGCATGGTGGAAGCTTGAAATCATTGCGCTCTCAAAGGAACACTTCCAACACCGTCAAAATTAAAGTTCTTTCATTAATCTTATTTCCGTCGATGATATACCCTTTCCGACGTCATAAGTCAGCGTTCGGCCAATCGTGGAAGGCCGACCACAGCGACGCTTTCGGTCGCGCTCGTCGCCAATAGTTGTCCCACATCCAACGTGAGCTTCTACCTTCGACAACGCTTCGGCAGCTCGTGCGTCTCGAGCGCGCGCGTGCAGCCGAAGCACAGGGAAGCGCGAGCCGGGCGTTCGAACCGTAACCTGTATTCCCGACCTGCCCACAGAATGGCTGCCTTTGGAAGACGCTGTCGCCGATGAAGTGCGTCGCTTTGCTGTTCGGGGCGTCGGTAAAGGCTTTTCTGCGACCCAAGGGGGGGAGCCCGGACTCAACAGACTCGGAATCCATCTTCCTTTGGGCCAAATAAAGTCTTTATTCATTCATTCACGGTCCGCACGGCGCGCGGCTGGGGATTTCTGTTTATCGGGAGCACCTAGCGTAGCGTGTCGCCAGCGGGCTGCAGTAGCAGTAGCACGTAGCAGGGTGCGTCGCTCTCAGTGCCGCTTAAACCGATGGAGCGCGTTTCTCAGGCACCGAAGCGCAAGGGCGTTTTTTTTAGCTCCGACTGCTCTTGTGCCATCGTCGAAATAAGGCGCCTTCTTGGATTACCCATAAATAGTCACTGTTTAATAGTCACTCTAATTACGAATCTATCACGCGACCACCGACTTACGATGAACCCCGTGAGGCCCGCGAGGAGACCAGGTCAGAACCAGATAAGGCCACCAAAGGCCGCCGCACCTTGCCAGTACTACCTAGAACACAAGGCCTGCGCGTTTCCTCCTCTAAACGTCATCACTAGTAGATCCCCTCAGCGCCCCCTAGCTAGCCCGCATGAGCATCATCGTCTGCTACATCGTCTGCGACATCGTCTGCTCCATCGCCTGCTTCAGTGGTTTGTGGAGCAGATAATGAAACAGATCCTCACACCGAGTGTCTGTTGCCACGATGGAGTTAGACGTTCACGCGGAGCGTCAAATGAATCAGTGAAATTGCCTAACCGCTGTGCGAAGGGCTGCAAAGCCCTTCGCTGGACGCTGGCACTGGACTTCTGCAGGGAAAATAATCCTCTTGACGCTCCCCCCTCCTAAATTGCGAGGGGAGCCAAGTTGGGGCAAGGTTAAAAAGTAGAGAGGATATAGAAAAGGAGTATGCGGGCAAAAGTGGAGAGCGCAAAGTGTACGTCGGTTTTTAAGCAGAGAATGCAGCCAACGCCACAATCACGAGAGCTCGCGAGGTCGCTGCTTTGAAGCGTTCTTCCGCTGAACGAGCGCGCGCGCTAGCAATGCACGTCTCAAAGACAGGAGCGCGTGCTAGCTCACGCTCCTGGCCGAGGAGTGTTCGCATGCACGTTGCAAATGAACTGGAAGTTCGCTATCAGCTCACGCTCAGCAGTCACGCGCACAGCTGTGGCCGCCAGTGAATGCGACGCGGTTGTGACGCGGCCCCTACTCTCGTCAAGCTTCAGCCTGTTTGCCGCTTGGGGCGGGTAAGGGATCTACTAACCAGAGCCGCTACTAACGCAGCGTTATGCGCAGGTCTTGTCTTTTAGGTGGGATTGGCCTTGCGCGCCTTCGATTGATATGCGGGTAAACCCTAGGAAAGAAAAAAAAAAAAGCCTTTATGCAACGCCGCGAAGTCATAGCGTGACGAAACGCTGCGGCCGCGGCCATGTAATACAAGGTGCGCGCTGGCACACCTTTCTGTGGGCAGGTCAGGATTACAGTAGGTCGTGGTTCGAACGACACGCCCGGCCGTTCTCATACTGCCGGGACCATAAAATCATGTAAAGACTTCGATACTACCATCACTTTTTTTCTCTCAAATCATGAAACAAACATAGAGTGAGCACGCCACAATGAAAACTAAATAATCAAAATTCGTCTCACCTGCCGCAATTTTTTCACGGTTAACAGGAAAGGGATTTCCAGCAATGGCACCGCTGCATGTAATAGGTATATTGTCTTTAACGTTCGATGTTTGGTTAAAACGCCCGGTGGCACGTAATAAATGTTAAATGGCCGTATACTATTTCGTTTGTTGATCTTTACCTGCCAAGCGGACAGACGTTGACCCTTCTGGAAAGATCTTCGAGTCTTTCGACATCCTGCTTCAAAAACCAAGCATGGCTACGGAAGACCGGAAATTTTTATGAAATCACAATATGCTTGCTTTCTGAAACACACTTGAAAGTCTAGTATGTTCGGAACATACTCATGTAATACTGTAGCCTCCAACTGGTGGAGGATTCTTACCTCAATACCCAGTGCGAAAACCTGATTGGTTGAGCTCTCTGCATGTGGGTGTAGCCAGGCATCAGTACATGGATCTCTCTAAGTAGAGGGAGGCGTAACACGCCATATCAAGGTCACAATTCCAAGGACATTCATCAAAATATTATTGAAGGATGAAGTAAAAAAAATAGAAAACGGTTTCTAATGGTGCTTCACAACTTTTATTCTGAATTGGTTGTATTGCTTATAAGCTATAATCACTGCAATAAAAATAGTCAATAGGTAATACCTTCAAACAAGTAACTTAGGTGGCACCTGCCACAAAAACAATTGATCCACAACCTCCACGAATCCCGGAGAAAAGCTCACCGGAGAAAAGCTCACCGGAGAAAAGCTCACCGGAGATAAGCTCACCGGAGAAAAGCTCACCGCAAAACCAGCGGATGCGGAGAAAAGCTCACCGATTTCTTTTTCTTTTCATATGGAGGCTGTTGGATCATGCGTAACATATATCAATTTATTATCATTAAAGTTCGTCAGCTTTGTCAAAAAGAAAATGTCCTTTTTTGTATTATTTGCCAAGCTTATTAAGTATATTGCTCCCAAATTAATAACGGCGGGCCAGTGTTTTCTGCAGCTTACTCTCTAGGGAACTAAAGCCTAACTGAAAATTTTATGAACTTGAATAACATGAAAAAGTTCGAAAACTTATGTCTCCCTAAAACCTAAAAATCAAAACTTTAAACACCGAAAATCTGAAAGTGCATGCGCAACAACGCGGTGCCTGAAATTCTCTTTGAAGCTTTTATTAACCTATGAAAACAGGATAAAACAGTCAGTAGGATATCAGGCCTCTTTCTTCCGCGGACATGCGCGTTTTCTAGCCGTTCGTGCTCGTGTTTCCGCACGTTGCCTTTGTGTGATAGTGCCCCTCTAAGGTGAGCCACTCATGACTTTCAGAGCTGCACACTGGCACCGTTGTTACTCGTGACAACAAACACGACAGGACGAATCTGTTCTCGCAACTAAAGTTTTCTTAGTGAAATTAACAGAAAGAAAACAGCGTAGCCGACACTGATTGCATCAACAAATACCCACTTAACTATTAGGCTCTACAGAATATTTAGAGCTGAAGCGGTTCACACACCGCTATTCATATTAGCTCACAAAGAACAAACGTCTTTATTTGACAGAGCTACCGACGGCGCACCCTCAGTTGTCAATAAATCGTTGTCTTTTTTACCGGTGTACGATGTTCTGATATCATTTTTGCGGCTTTAATAATATACAGAATGGGGGATTACTAATTTCTCAGGAATTAGTAAATATGCGCAATGACCTTCAAGAATATTACAAGAAAGAGGACATTTTTTTTTAATGAAGTGGCGAATGCAAATTGTGTTAAATTGCCACGTTTCACGCAAAATCCGCTAAGTGAAAAAAAAAAAAAATGAAAAATCGGTGAGCTTTTCTCCGCATCTGCCGGTTTTGCGGTGAGCTTTTCTCCGGTGAGCTTATCTCCGGTGAGCTTTTCTCCGGTGAGCTTTTCTCCGGTGAGCTTTTCTCCGCCGCCCACCTCCACGTATGTAAAACACGGAGACCTGTGTCAGTATGAGTGCATTTACACGTATTAGTGAACTGCTGTCGAGTCATTTTCGTACTTCAGGTGTCAAAAAAGTATATATACTGTCCAGTTGATGTAGCATGAAGAGTAACAGAGCCAGTAGACAACGGCCAAGTGAAAGGACCGAATGGATTGAGCGCTGACTGACAACTGAAGGTTTCGTTAAAACGTAGTGTATAGAAACTGCGAAATCACAAGGAAGAACTGATCATCTCTTATCAAGCACACGCGGTAAGCACACGCGGTAAGCACACATCCCAGGAACGCTAACTAAACTTTGGTGTCACGACAAGGCAGCAGAATCTTCGAACTTTAATGGTTGGATTACTTGGAACATCTCTAACCCAATGACGAGCCATAATTTATTTCGGTAAATTTGGTTCGGTGCGTCTAAGATAGCTATGTCATCGATGCTCCTACCTGACTAACCAAAGTTCAATTTCCCACAGAATAATGGCATCTCGTATAATACTATGCCTAGTTCACATATTACGATCTTCGGATATCTCTTTCCACAAACTCCCACTCCAACTGAAGAAACAAAAAAAACAAAAAAAAACTGACCGTTATTTGGTGTTTTTAGTCCAGGTGTTCAAAGTCAAGGCGCCAACACCCCTATCTATCCTATCGCCATAGAAGCAATGTAGCGGTTGCTCTCAACCGAACAGGTTTGTGCCCTGGTATAAAAAAATGCACAAACGCCTTTTTTTTTTTTTTTTTTTTTTTGTTATGAGACACGAAAAATTACGCGTAAGACGTACAAACGGTATGCCCAGCTTCATGTTTCGTTATTAAAGGGGTCATGAAACGATTTTTCTACTTTCGCTAAATGCTACGTACAATCGCTCCTTAGCGCTTAGAACCGAAAAGCTCGAGGTACACCTAAGCACGTCTTATGAGTCGTGAATGCGAAAGCAGGCAAGCCGCTCGTCCGCTCCCTTTTTCGTCTGCTGTGTACTTTTCGTCGCCGGTCAGCGCGCGTGCTCCCCTGGGCACGCTGACCCTGGACGCTCCGTGTTAACGGCGCGCTGAAGGACACGCAGCGCCATGGAGTGAGTGGTCGTGGAAACGGACGAGCGCAGCGGCCAACGGGAGCCCCGTCGACGCGCGAGAGCCAATGGAACCGAAGGCGAAATTCACCAGCTTTACTTCGCTCCTATTGGGATCGCGGAAACTAGGTGCCGTTTTCGCGCTTCAAGCTGATGACGTCAACTCGCTCGATGGGACAGTTAATACTTTCGCATTAATAAACTTGCGCACGATCTTTCCACGAGCCAGCAGCCGCCGGTGTGCACGAGCTCATGCAACGGAATTGACGTCATAGTCCCCCATGACAGTGAAATGTGTGAGCTTTTCACCTCCACAGTGGGGTCTGGTGTGAAAGGTGTGGGGACCGTTGGTCGCCCTTCCCTTCGGAATGCTCGGCCTGGTTGCCTTGAGCTCCAACATGTTCGTGAAGCGTAGGAGCGCCGCCTGGCTTGGGGTCTCCACTTCACACTCTCCCGGGGGGACCTTTTTCCGTCCCCCCGCTCATCCGGGAACCTAGTTGTTTTGGGTGAGGACGACGCCCGCGGGGGGAGGAGGTCGACGCGCGTTCCCTACTTCGGGAACGCAGGGACTCTTCCCGCGGAAGCGATAGAGATCGGACGTTTGGCGAAGGACTTCCTTTGCTCGCTCTGGACTGCGCTCTCGGGACGGTGTCGACAGGGTGAGCCTATCATCTGACCTTGTCGGCGCGGGGTTTTTGGGACAGTGTGTCTTTTGGTGTTCCAATAAACACCGTTGCACCCACTCCTATTGTGGTACGTACTCCTTCTTTTTAGAGAACCGATCAGTGGTGCGGATGACGTTCGGAGCCGCCCGTAGCGGTGTTCTCGAGAGAAAGCTGCGGGGTGCGGGAGTAGGCTTGGCGTCTCCCGATTACAGACCGCCGCTGAACCCTTCGGTTATTACGTTAAAAACTTTTTTTTAATATAAACAAATAGATACGAGGTGCAAGGTCCCCCAAACTCCCAAAGCTGGCATCAACTTGGTTAAATTAATAGTGGGACGCGATCCTGACGGTTGGCCGTAGAAGTTCCGGCAAAAAGCACGAGCAAACGCGAGTGTCGCTGTCGTCACGACGTCCCAATTCCCGGCTGCTGAGACTTCCTGGACTGTCAAGCTGGAGAGCGACGTGGAGCGGAACAGGCGTCTGCCGCCAGGATCGCGACCGGTGACAGTATGACACTTCTAAGACGCCGTCAGGCGGAGACGGATGGGCTACGTTTTTTTGGACGCAGTACAGATACCGGTCGGAGAAACGGTCCAGGCACCATAATTATAGAGGGAGTATTCACTGGCGGCCATATCCGTGTGCGCTGCTGCTGAGCGCGTGCTGACGGCGAGCTTTAGTCCTTTTGGAGCGTGCATTTAGCACCATCAAGGTTGCTGGTCTTAGGAGGCTATTAATGTGAGCTCGTTCTGAGCATGCGCTCTAAACATCGCCCTCAAATATGGCGTCCAGTGAATACCTCCTATACTTACTTCTCGGCTCTCGCGCAGGATGCAGCGATGAAACGTTTGATCAGAGAGGTGATTTCAACGATGGATTTCCTCAACCACAGCCTCATGTCCGTTGCAACCTGTAAGAGGTAATACAGCTTTACATTTTGACGCCACAATTTAGCTCTTTTGTTTTCGGCAGTAAGCTCTATTTACCTGGTCGTTCCGACTGCGGCCAGTGTGCAATTTTCCGCCGATCTCCGAGCCTATGATTGCCTGGGGACAGTGTTCAGGTTTTTATGATTTCTGAATCGATATATTGTTTTTAGACAACATTTCTAAATAAACGAATTGCGAAACCCAAGATAAAAAAAAAAAAAAAAATAATCAGCCGTTAATTTTTTTTTTTATGTTCTCCGCCTTTTTCTTTGTGTTTTCTGCTCCTTCGTGAACAGGATATAAGGCCTGGCCTAATGTGCACCTGTACAATTCCTAATGAACCTGGTGTGCGTAGTCGGATCATCATTGTTGGCAAAAAAAAAAAGGTGTACTTTGCTTTTACCCCATCATAATTGTCTTAACCTATGTTCTAGACTGCCTTTTTATTTACCTTGTTTTTTTTTAGTTAATGAAGAACTAAAAAAAATCGTTACTATAATTACTACGCTCAAAAATATTATTCCAGAATACTTGACTGAGCGCGCGCGCTCCATCGTCTGTTGTGGTGTCGTTCACGGCCACTCTGTAACAGCAGTTGCGTCATATAAAGAACGCTGTTACACATGTCTGAGTGACACACAATGTTCGAAGGTTCAAGAAACTTTCTGCTCGTCAGACTTCAGTGTGACATCTACATTTCGCGAACGCAGAGCGAAAAATACATCCCGCCCCAAACCCAGCGCTCCGCAAGGTCGCTTCTCCGTAAGGGGTTTAGGCGTACCTGGTGCATGTGACCGCTTTTGCGCCAATGAGGAGTTGGTAGTGAAGGGAAAAGGAAGGCGGTATTCTGGTGATCGCCGGTTTTTGTTTTGTTTTTTTCTTAGGATAAAAAAAACTGCCATAAAAACCAGGTAAATTTTGAGTCTGCCAAAGTTTACCTGGTCTTCATGACAGTTTTTGATTACAGCCATGCAAGAAAGACTGACAGACTGCATTTTACTGCCATGCAGATGAGAGTAAAATGCAAGAAAGCGCGGATGTCGTGTTCATGCTAACAATGTCGGACAGTGCACGCATACAAGAAGAAAAGAAGTCATCCCACCTTTAGACAACGTTCGTTGGCGGAGTGGACATCTTCGTCTTGGGGCGTGATGACCAATGTTCCCGATGCCCACTGGCTTCCAACCTTAAAATAATGGTTTTACGCGTGAGCCGCGACGCCTATCCACACAGAAATAAAAACCGCATGGCGTGAATGGGCAGCTCTTCCCTCTCCTCACCACTTCGAGCCCCTTGAGAATCGTCGTCTCTTCTTCCTTCGAAATGATTCCAGCGCCGTGTAGAGCCTTCGCGTACGCTTTGCTGCCCTGATGAACGGAACGTTGCGTAAATATCTCCGCATGATCAAACTCTTAGCTAGGCAAGTTCGTGCGAGCAACAGAAATGACGCTCGCTGAAAATATGGCATTGTCGGAAACTTGGTGAAAGTAATTAATTGCTCTCAAAGGGATTAAGGACAAGGTGGCCCCGGACAAAATGGTTTCGGTAAATATGGTCTCGGTCAATATGGCCGGTCGCAACTAAAGTCCCTTGATGCTTCTTTTTACAAGTAACGACAATCAATACAAATGTCGAAGTGCATTTCAGTTAAACAAAATGGCGTCATTCAGTTCAGTCTTCTGCTGTGCGGCCGCCATTTACTTCCTAAAAGCTTCATCGTCACGCAGTCGGTGCTTCAAAGAATGTCGCTACTTGTAGGAAGCTCTTCGAAGTTTAGCCTTAACCGTAAACCCGAACAAAATGGCCCCAGGTGATCTTTCTTGACAGTTTGAGTAATCTTTAAAGTTTCTAGTATATTGCTGATTTGAATAATATTAGACCGATTTCACGGGCCAGTTTGACAGCACGACTGCTGCTGAAATGCATCGAGGAAACTGCGATACGTGCACATGCGACAAAGTCCCTGAAGCTCTGTGCGTGCACAGCGCGAGGCGGCCCGAGTCGTATCGTGCACTGCCGCCTGCCTTCTGCATAGAATAAATTTGTTATGGCGGTGGCATGCATGCGCCGAACGCTTGGTGATACCGGTCTATAGACGCTTTGCAGCAGCTGTGCATGGACGCCGCCATAACTGACCTTCAGTTTTTGTTTCCTCTTATTTCGTTTATTTCACTTCATCATTACCATAGCAGGCCAGGTTATTGCCACATTAGATTCAACTGGGTCCTTTTCGAAAGCATCGGCCTTTGTAGAGGATCGTGAACTATCGTTTCAGTTGCTCGGCATCTCGGTAAGACAGGAGAAGGTCAGCAATGGCGGCTGTAATTTGGCGCGTGTGTAAAGCGTCTATTCCGCACACGTTCGGCTGATACTGGTTAAAAAGCGCAACAGGACAACGGACAGAAAGGAAGACACACACACAGCGCTACTAGCTTACTTAGTGGTAATACCAAAGTATCCAAAGTATAAAAGTATCCTCAACATTAAAACGGTTATCAAACAAAAAAAAAAGCGCCTTTTTCGACGAGCCAAGATATCAATGATCCCAGAGAGATGGGCAGCTTATCATTGTGCAGAGGATGAGTACGCACGTGCACTGTCTCTCGCCAAACATACTTTTTTTAATCAAACCCTTCCATCGCTACTGGAAACTAATCTGCGTAAGTTTTGGCACATTGTGAGCGGAAGTGAAAGGAAACCAATTGAACTTGCTACAGATAGCGAATCGGTCGTTCCTAGGGAAAACTGCTGCGTCGTTTTGAACTCTGCATTCTCATCGTCGTTTGTTAACAGCACGCCATGTATGTTTCCCGATGTTCCGGTTTATGATTTTATTCCGATGGATCCAATAGTTATTGACTGGGCAGGCGTAATGAAATTAATTCAAAATATGAAGCTTTCCTCTTCTCCAGGTGATGATGGCATTACCCCAAATTTTTGAAGAACACCGAAGTGTATTCATCTATAATATTGTCGAAGATTTTTGCACAATCATTAGAATCCTGTTCGCTCCCGAACGACTGGAAGGTGGGAAAGGTGGTTCCTCTGCACAAATCAGGTAACACTCATTGTCCTAATAATTATAGACCCATTTCATTAACCAGTATACCGTGCAAACTCATGGAACATATCATATACTGTCATATGGTATCTTTCCTCGAAACTAATTCTTTTTTTAGTATGCATCAACACGGCTTCAGAAAAAATCACTCATGTGAAACTCAACTACCCGCCTTTACTAACGACTTATTCTCTGCTGCAGATCACTTAATCACTGTTGACTGCGTTTTCATCTACTTTTCTAAAGCATTCGATAGTGTCTGTCATAGTCTGCTTCTCTATAAATTAAGTAAACTTAACATGGACCCTAATATTTTTAAATGGATAGAATGTTTCTTGTCTAATCGCACGCAATATGTAACCGCCAATGACCATAACTCCCCTCACTGTCCTGTAACGTCCGGTGTCCCGCAGGGGTCAGTGCTAGGGCCCTTGCTTTTTCTTATTTATATTAACGACTTACCTAGCTGCATTTCTTCATCTGTAAAACTTTTTGCTGACGACTGTGTTGTTTATCGCAAAATTCTGGAACCTGCTGATCATCATGCTCTTCAGTCTGACCTCGATAACATTTCATTTTGGTGTGACACCTGGCTAATGAAACTTAACCCTGCCAAATGTAAGTCAATAAGAATTGCACGTCATTCAAATCACATCGTACCGTGTGACTACTTACTTAAGGTGCAACCCCACCGTGCAGGACGTTTTGGTGCTTTTTTGACGGCTTATAGCTTTCGTTCTATGTAACTTACAATTGTAAAGTTAATGTCAAATTAAAGAGCTGTTTTTCGACAATTTTTTAATGTCTCAAAATTAAGATTACTTTTAGTTGTTAGTTAATAATTTATCTTTTAATAGACCGCAGTCTCTAATGTTGAAAAAATTCTTTCTCGAGTTATAACGTCCCATTCTCCACGATAATTTACGTGAGAGTTTGGTTGCATATAATAAATTAAAAAAGTAAGCAACGAGTTGTACAGATAGTGTATATTTTAAAATAAAAAATAAAGTTTAAAATGACATCATTTTAAGGCGCTATAAAAACGGAATCACGTTAACTAATCAAAATAACGAGACATTAAATTATGAAGCATCCTTCAATATTACATTTTCCAGAACTTCCATATTGACATATTACACGTTAAAATGTTATAAGACCTCAAACTTTTTCCCATTCAGTTACGGCAAATTGTAGTTTCTTAATATAAAGTACAGATGGCGACACGTGTTCAAGAACAGCTTGATGTGAATCTTCCGTCGTGTGCCGCTTGGAACGCCACGTGAAAGACAGAAAAATCGCCAGATGTCACGGTGTCAGATGCCTGGATGCCTGCAGTGAGCGAGCCAGAGATATCAGAAACACAAGCGCGAGGCTGCGGGTGCACCACAGCTACTTTTACGCGCGTTCTACTGTGCGTCGGTACGCATTCCCGACTCGATCCAAATGAAATGGGCGCCATGAAATGCATTCTGCCATTTCAGATTCCGCCACGTATGCTAAAATATTTTAATGTTTTTATCACATGGAAACACCATTTTCGCAATCAAACTATGCTTGTCGGAATATTTTGTTTCAAAAAACACCTCTTTGGCTCTTAAGTGGCAATGATATTAAAACAAAACACAAGACATTAAATCGTCTCAGTGTCTCTGAGCCAACGCGCTGGCCCATAAATCTATATTTGTTGGGTTTAAATATCGGCCGAGGTGCCCGCAATCCGACGGAGGACAATCTGAGATTTCGGTTGCACGTCATAAGGTCTCCAAAATAGTCAAAATAAACCCGCAATTTTTTTATTGGGGTGCGTTAAGTGATTTTTGTTGGTTTGTCTTGTGAAACCCTAAGATCTGAATATTTGCTTTGCTGTTCGGAACGCAGCCAACGCTAAGGGCTGATAAAGCCACTGAAGCAGCGCCAAGAGCGCAAGGTCAAGCTGCTTGTTCCCTTTCTATGCCTATGCGGTCGGGCTAAACTAGAACAACTAAGTAAGTTACGCTTCATAGACATCTTGGTGCTTAAAATAATGGTTGTCAGTTATCTGAAGCTTTTGGAATCACAGGAAACGCCTTTCCGTCCTCCACAAATGTTCAAACAGTTCGTGACAAAGCAAAGCAATATTACGCGAGCTGCCTGACACCGAAGCTTTTGAATCATGACGATCGGCGGTTGCGTTTGATTGGTTACTAACCACCAAGATGGCGGCACCCACAATAATTTTGGGGGAATAAGTGCCGATACTCTAAGCATAGCTCATTTGGTTTAGCTCACAGGCTAAACCAAGTGCGGCGGGGGACCGTTGGCCGAGTGTGGTGTGGCACCGCAGATCAGAGCACGTGGAGAAATGCTCGAGCGCGAGCTCCGTTCAAAGCACGGAGCTCACGCTTCGGAACCCAACGTTGGCGGAACGCGTAGGGACTAAAGCCCGGTTCAGACAGTTGCGTTTGACTGCGTTGCGGCAGCGAGAAACCAGGACATCCCTGCTGCATATGTCGCGTGCCAAGATGATTCCTTGCATTGGATTTTACGCTTCATACGAAGCACAGATGTGCCGGTGATCCGCTTTCGGTTCTCGACGCAACGCAGTCGAACGCACTCAAACGCAAATGTCTGAACCGGCCTTAAATCCCCTCGATGTGTTTGCGTTGGTTTTTCAAATAACCTCAAAGGTGCCAGTGCACGAGGCCCGTGTCTCAAGTGGCCCTTGGAGGCAAATGGCGGCGCAGCACTAAAACGACTGGCCCTTGAAAGCGAATGGCGGCGGAGCACCCGCTCGTGTCACCTGTCTTGCGCGTTTCCCCAACAATGGTTGGCGGTACTTGTAAAAAACGCCTTTATCAAGGGGCTTTAGCAGGGACCCTGGGTTCAGTCGCCCATCTGCATCCTACCGTCGTGCGATCGTGTACCACATATACTGCGTAATGCACGTTAATGTGTGTTCGCTTGTTCACGTTCTTTGTTTTTTGTCTACATCTTTGATTATTCGGCCATTACTTATGATCAGGGATGGGCAAAATACATGCAAATATGTATCGAAATACAAATACAAAATACTTCGTCAAAAATGTATTTAATTACAAATCTAACTACATTTCAAAAAAAGCATTTAATTACAAGATACAAATACAACCATTGTATTTGGTCTCCTCCAAATACTTTTCCAAATACATTCCTCAAAATTTGTTTCAGCGACTTCAGGGCACCTGCAACGGGTTTCTGGGTATCTCATTTTAATTTTGCATCGCACACTCGGGAGTTAGTGTGCGAGGCTCTAGTAACGTAATAGAAATATAATCACACAAAAAATGG